AAGAGGGCCTACGCTTACTGCCAAGGCCTAAATGACACTCTCAAGGGCAGTCCCAATTGTGGCTTCTGTAAGTGCTCTACATCTGCATGTAATTGTGCTAGTCTGCATGCCAAATGGCAGGAAGTGAATTCTGGTGTGTCGCTGATATGGTCAAGAATGCTTTTTATCAGACTTTGCAAGTTGTTTCACTCTGATAAAAATAACCACTTGCTTTATCAGCACTTTTACCAATACCAAAAGCACCTGGTATATAGTAATAAATGTTATCTATATCAGGACCTCACATAGTACACATACCGTACTGATGACCTACCTCAGTGGAAAAAAGGAGTACCTTTTTTCAGATAACAGGAAGATGGTATAAAGCATCATATAGTTAAAGATGCCTTAGAACAGATGCAATAAACCAAACTGACGATTTAGACATCTATTTAATCTCTATATAACCACCCGATGTGATATTCTAGTGACTTCTCTTTAAAGAGCTGGCTAATGAAACTTAAAAGTCAAGAAGTAAAAAAGGAACCTTCTACATTCTTGGCTATAGAGACTATCTGGTAAGTTTGATACATAAAACCAGCTACAGACAGCCTGCTGGCTTTTTAGCTACATAATAGAAGCTGTTTTCAAAGCATAAAGCAAAAGTGAGAACTGATGTATAATGCATTTGGTGTGCAAATTCTACGTGGAAAACTGAGTCTTTAATATACCGATTGTGTTACTGCTATGCAAATGTTGATTATTCATAACTGACATGAGAAAAGCGAAGAACTGCATATACTAACTGCTGATTTAGACCAAGTGCCCACAGCTCATCTTCAAAGTTCATGAGAGGTCATGCCAGATTTCATTTCTGAAGGTTTTCGAGTATCTAGTTCTGTTTGTCTGTAGGCTGTATGATTACAAATTATGAATTTTTTGGGCTTTTTTTGACTGTTAGCACTGTTTCTCATCACATACTCTGCTTCTCCATACCTGCTCTCCTCCCAGTCTCGAGACTTCTTTGTTTCATTTGGTTTGATGCAGCGGATGTAATGGGGTGTACACTTCATCAGGGTGCCAACAAGGTCATTTGCTTGTTTCTGTAAAATTGAGGGAAAACAATAGGATCTGAGCTGAACAGGGTGAATCCTGTGAGAGAAAACTACCAAGCATCTGCTGATGGTTCAGTTGACTGGATCCAGTTGACTTTGGTCTTTCTCCAGAACAACCAAAGTGTCTTGGGGAATAACATGCACCTCATGAAAAATTTATCAGTAAATAGAAGGCACCATTATCTCCAGCTATGTAATATCTTTAAACTATTATATAAAAATATGGAGCGACAAGGAATGCATCAGGTGAACTTGACTGTCAGGGTGAAACTTGAGGCAAGAGGTTGATAAAATAGCAACTTCCAAAGTCTGCAAGCGTGTAATCTAAGCATGTATTTTACAACCAGTCTCCAAAAAGATGCTCGCCTTCTAATACTTGCTGCCTTATTCAAGGCACATTATGGTCAGTAGAAAGACTTCTGTTGACTTCAGTGGGCGTTGGATCAGTCTCCACTGCATTTCTTGCACTATAAAGAGACCAGTTATCTGTAGTTAATTGTAGGACATCAAGTGGCTGAGTGAAGGGGCTCATTCATTATGCACATGCAAGTACTATTATCACTGCCATCAATTGCTCATTTGGAAAATTCACTGCTGTAGAATGCAGCTGAACAAAAGATTTAATGAACAGTGATGCTGGGCAAAACATGATTCTAACAGCTGAAACAATGCATCACTTTGCAATCAAGATACTCCTGATGTCTATCTTTAAAAATGTCTGGACAGTAAAAAACAGCAAAGATGACCTTTTTTTTTTTTTTTTTTTTTTTTTTTTACTTACATACACACACACAGCCCCATATATGCACATACTAACACAGGAAAACTCGACATACTTTGATTTTACTGCCCGCAGTGGTAGGACGACCCTTCTTGTCCACTTGAAGATTTTCAGGAAACAGAGCCTTTATAAAAGGCCTAGGAAAGAATTGATAAAATAGCGTTGGCATAGAAAGACAATTCAATGCAGGAATGTCAAGGAATATGCTGTAAAAGTTGATAGTTGAGCAGAATATAAAGAGCTATTTCTATTAATCTGGAGCGATATCAAATCTATTTTAAGATTACTATTTCCCATGAGCTTCGTTCCTCATAGAGATCCCTTGCTATTTTAGTGAGCCTTGGAAGACATGATACCAGACTTCTAGACTCAAAGAAACGCGCGCTTCTTGAAAAGTAAGCAGCAATTAATTAAAATAAATAACAAAAAATGTTACTTTATCTGTTAAAACAGTGCCTGTTCTGAGAGAAGGCCAAATCACTGATGGCCTTGTCTGAGGCCAAAACAAATGGCTGTCATTACACCATTTGATTCTGACACTGCAGTACCTTACTTATTCAGATTTGCAGAAAATGAAGGTCAATCTAACTCAGGTGATACTATGTTCTACTGCAGTGATGTTTTATTTCCACTTTTATACAAATGAGTTCACAAGTTGCGAAGTAGAGAAGTCAGGCCCTCTGCATCCATCTGAACTAACACGTTATTCCTAGCTTTAAGCAAGTTTTGCTTACGTACAAATCACTGCTCTGCATGAGTTCAATCAAGTCCATGAAAAGAACATCCCGATTTCTCTCGCAGAATCCATCCATATCATAAGATACCTGGGCCAAGGTGGAAATTGATTGTTTGTGGTAAGTTGAGAACCCAATAATTAAAGAATAAATTCTGTCCTCATCTGTAGCTGTTCTGAACTTTTTGGTTAGTCTGGTATAACTTAAAGATACTACAACAGATACTGCACTAAATCCCTGCATGTATTATTAGTTAACTCTTTCACAACAAACATAAAGGAATTTCATCGATACATTTAAATTCAGTGAAAAAGACTGTTATGGAGCTAGTGAATGGAATATGACACAAGTGAACTTAATACTGAATTTTATTGAAGAAAAATTTTTGCATAATAAGGGTTTACTGTTATTAACTATAACTGCAGGAAATCATGAATAGTCTGAGAAATAAACCCAAAGAAGATAGAACCATACATTTTATTTCCAGTTTTATTGATATATCATCACCTAAGGATCATTTTTATATCTGAATTCTTTAAATTTACTGCTACTGTAACGAACAGTTAAGATTGTAATTAACACAAGACATGGGGCATTTATTTATTACATTTAATATTAAGTTCTGGTTAGTATGTTTGATAGCAGCAAGGCCCAGACTCATCTCTCCTAAGTAAGGGACATATGTTAGGGCATATTTGTTCTAAGCTCCCTACGTTGTGAAAGGAGGATACTGTCTCCTGAGATAATATGGCTATTTAAATCAAAAGAGCCCTGTACAGGGCTTCCCCCTTCCTTTCATTACTGTTTTTTTCTTTATAAATACGTTACACAGAATTCAGTGACTATTTTCCACATTACCTTTCCAGCATAATGATGAATGATAAATCCCTGGTTCCAGCTGTTGAAATGTTCATGAGTCCCAATCTGCATCTGGAGTTTTTGAAGCAGTGTTTGGTCAGCTCCTTCTCCCACTGCATGCATTGTAGCACACACATCATCTAAAATACTCATAATACCTGGGGGATTCTAATGCATTGGAGAAGAATAACAAAAACAGCAAAAGAAGTGAGCAAAAAACATTATGATGCCAGTTTTTCCCCCAAACAGAAAATTATCTTTGCTACAAAAACACTAGAGCAAAGTCACAGCAGGAAGAATTCCCCCCCAGTCAGCAGAGTTCACAGTGGAGATTAATTTGTACACAAGCATGCAAATAGTTTAAGGAGAGATGCCAGTTTGCGTCATGATAGTGACAGTGGGAAATGATGGGGAAAACAATGATTGGTGTTAAAAAAAAAATAAAACAAAACCCCCAAAACACCCAGCATTTGTTTTAGTTTTTAATTCCTTCACAAAGCTATCTTCTTTCTCATTCCACCAAACAATAAACCCATGTCTGAGGTAAGTATTTAAACTCACATGCTTTAGTTCGACAAACTTAGAGCTAAATATCTAAGATTGTGACAGAAATCCTATCTTCTTCCTAGTTATCCTGATACAGATAGGAGATGGGCAAAATCTGATGTGCCTTTAAGCGCAAGTCACTGTAGTACTTGAACTACTGTTAAAATTATCTGGCTTACATGAGCACAAAGAACTCACTGAAAAACCACCTACTTCTGTCCTAAAGGACAACTCAACATTTGTTGTCATGCAAATCAGAACATAAAGACTTTAAACTGCGGAACATTCTGTGGAGCAAAGACACAAAATTTCTCTTATTTACACCACTTCCTAATACTTTCTCTTCACTTGTTTCTGCTTAATTTGCAACAGTACCTCAAAGGAAGCTGGTATTGTAGCTTCCCCAAACTGAAATACATCTCCCAGGGACACAGAGAGCCTTATCTGATGTACAGTAGAATATGTCATGAAGTTCATTATAAATTTAGGTGGATAAAATTTTGATTTCCATCATTATATTTTTTTAGTCACACATCAGTCATGCTATCTTGCAGTTCTCTTTTTGGTCGATATCTTAGACGACATATATCTTAGAGCTCTTATAAGGCATCTTATGTAAGATTTATATATAGGCTTAGTATGACTCAGTAACTGAACAACAGTATTTGCATTTTTCCTATGAACGTTCTTGACAGCAAAGCAGTTGCCCAAATACTTGAGAGAAAAATCTTGTTGTTTTTTCCATCTGTTTGTTCTAAATACTTACCACTTTGTTCTCTATAAGGTCACACACTATTTTGTTGTTAAAGTAATCTATTGGTGTCCATCTAATTCCTTCTTGCACATATTCTTCCTGTTAAGTAAAAAGAAAGATGCAAATATTCCTTTGCACCGTGGATGTAGCACTAGATTTACAGTGCACTGCATATACACAAACTCCGCACTACTCATGTTCAGAAAGACTCGTCAAATGCATGACTGGGGGGAGGTGGGAGAAATGACCCTAATAATAGTTAAATCCAGCTCTCTACTGCCTAAAAGCTGAAGCGGAATCCTTCTCTGCTCTCCCCGCACATTCATTAGTGCATTTGTTGTCAAAGCACTTCGCAAATAGTAACAAAGTGACTTTTACAGTATCCTGACAGTGCACCTAAGCATCCATATCCTAATCTATTTTAAAAATTAAGATTGTGACAGGCATATCAAGGATCAGAGCCCCAGAACAACACATTTAGAAATGCACATGAAATGGAGACACAGCTCTACCTTTTTATTTCTGCACACAATTACTGTAACCATAAAGACATCTAGACACTGACTGGGGCAAAAATTCATACTAAAATTTGATTAAATTGACTCACACAGTTGCATACACATAAGTTCAGCTAGACACTTAGCAGGTCATTTGTGTGTTCAACTGCAATGAGCAGTTACTTTTCTACAAAGGCAATGGTGTATGTGCATTCTTGAAAACATTGTCCTAAAGCTGGTGCCAGGCCTGAGCTCATACTGTACACAATGTTTCTGTCTCAGCTGCATTCTGTCTGCCCTTCCATGCAGAAGCTCACATTCACGTACAGTGAGATTTTGCAGTAAGGCTGGGAGCAGAGAACTGCAAATACTTTCAGAAATACTTTTGCATTTGTCTCAGTAATCTATTTCATTAATATATTTATTTTTTTTTAAAAAAAGGGCGTGGAGGAAATTAAGAAAAGTATTCCCATTTAACTGTGTGTCATGTCCAGCGAAAGCACAGGGAGGGAACCAAGCTGCAGTTTTCCATTTCTGTCAACGGGTCAGAATATGCAGCAAGTCTGGTTAAAGTCATATGACTGCATTAGTACACCATACGATGGACTCACTTCTGTACCACCGTATTAGAGAATAAACGTCTGTAGCTGATGTGGTTTACAGTTTTAGGGTTAGCCAACAACAAAGGTTTTTTTTTTTCTTTGTCTTGCTTAACAAGGCAAATTTTATTGTTAGCAGATGATGAAACCTCAATTCCTCCACCAACTGAAAAAGCAATAGCTCAGTTATGAATTCAAAAATAATAAATGTCTGGTTACCTGTTCTGCCTTCAGTGTCAGTTCAATAAAAATCTGCTGTAGTTTTTCATTAACGAAGTTGATGCAGAACTGTTCAAAACCATTTTTCTATAGAAAAGGAAACAATTTACAAATTAGTCTCGTGCTTTTAGATACAATAATTCTTAGTTCTTATGCTGGCAATAAGCTTCAAAGAGACACTGTCAGTGATGGATGGGTTGCTGACTTTATAGACATTCTGTGTAATCTCAGATCTGTCTTTTAAGATCAATGACCTAGTGTCTTTGAAGTTTCTTCAATACTTTGTGTTTATTAAGTGAGACATTAACAGTGAGAACGCAATGTCCAGGAAGCTGGGTTCGTGGTTTTTTGCTTTTATTCTGGCCACAGGATTTGGTTTTTTTCTGGTTTGGATTTTTTCCCCTCTAAATAACAAAAAACTCTCCCAGGTCAGATCAGCTCAAACCCCGAGTATTGCATTGCCTTACCTGGAATATTTCAAAGCCATAGATATCAAGGACACCAATGTTATATTCTTCATGGTCCTTCTCCATAGCCTTATTAATAGACTAATAAAACAGAAACAAAATGTAAAACAAAGTGTAGTTTATATATTTAAAAGATATATTCATATCTTTACATCTTTATATAAATACATTGGGTTTCTTCAAAAAGAAAATATTTGAATGGAATACAAATATATGTCATAGGGTATTTTACTTTCACTTTTTAATAAAGTGTTATTAACAGCTATGAAATTAACAGAGTATACTGTCTTGTTTTCCAGATTAGCGAGCCTTTGGATCTACTGTTTGTAAAAATCTTTCCCTTTTGGTGTAACTGGCTCTGTTAAAGAAAAGGAGCCAACAAAAAAAGAACAGCTTTAAGTCTGATATTTGATGCATTTTGCAGATGGTACAGTGAACCTTTTCACCTATTTCTGTATTCCCCTGCTTTGCAGTGTCAGTGCTGGTACAGGCACATAGTGGGAATTACAGAGCTGTCACGATGAGGGAGACTTCTGAGACACTAGCAGTGTCACCACAGAGGAGACTTCTGCTTTATCTAGCCAGCATCTGTGGCCAAAGGTAAGGTTTCTACCCCACCAATCCAGCCTAGGCTCTCATTCTGAACAAGAGAGTAATTCAGCATGGAGAATGGAATTTGACCATTTGCTCAAATGCCACGACACTGGGATGCTGAAAGGGTTCTTTGCAGAAGAGTGGGGTAAGAGAGCAGGGGACCATAACCCACTAATTCTGCTCATCTGAAAACGCTCAACTGTGTAGGAGAAAGTAAGACTCAGAGAAGTATGGATGCTGACAGGACGGAGATGTCAATATCATATGGGACCGTTGTGGCAGGAGACAGAGCAAATATAGTGCTGAAAGCACAGCTCATTTGCTTCAAAGAAAGTGTATAGCATTTGTCATATAATCAGTGCCTTGTATTTGATATCTGTGGTCATGCTCCCACTGCACTGCTCAGTGCTGCTGCTAAGGGTTAGGCAAAAAAAACATACTGGGTGAAAGAAATGATGGACTGCAGGGAATATTCCTAGTGTACTTGTACTTGTTTTGATACTTCAGTAGAATCAAGCAAACCCAACTTACATCCACCAAGTAATCAAAAACACGGGAATGAAGGGCCTTGGCTAGTGCATCCCTGGTGTAGCAGGCTTGTTCCACATTTAGCGTTACATTAATGGACTCAGATTTGCCTCCCCACTTGCTGTCCATCTGTCTGCTGGTCAGTTTTTCCTTTAGGCGGTCCTGGTTAATTCCCAGGAGAAAAGCAGGGAAAGCCAAAACTGCAAGAAAGATCAGGGTTGCTGGATTATGACTTACAGACTAAATCGATACAGAATGAAGGAAAAAAAAAAAAGCTGTATCTCTAATAACAATCAGCAGTGATAAACCTCATGGGGCATGCAGCTCAAAAAGAAAAAGAGGAAGGATTTATGTCTTTAAAATTCCACTAAGCTCCCCAAGAACATTTTCAACTCTTTACTTACATGCATTTCAATTAAGATAAACCACCTTGAAGTAAAATAGCCAGCTCTTTCTGTACCTTCAGTCCTTCAAACAGGTAAGCTGGCTTAGGTCATAGTTTTGAACTATGTGGTTCAAACAAATCACTCTTGGAGGAGATGGAAATAAAACATAGAGCTCACATATTAAATAAAATTGACACTACTGAAAATTCTTTGTAAAAACATGAAATGTTTAAAATATAACAAAGAATATGCTATCTGCTTCCTAATATTCTTTCCCTTTCTTCTTCTAAGTTAGGATATTGCAAAAAGTTTTCAATTGCCTTGCCATTTATTTGGTTTTGGTTTTTTAATCCCTTATTCTGGAAGTACTTTGCAAATTCTGGTTTCACTTGTTTCTACGTAAAGCAGAAAAATACATCTGTGCAATAAGCAGCCACAAGTCTAGTAGTCTTTGCATTCTTAGCACATGGTGCAGATGTTAGCTGCAGGTGCCACACACCTTAAGGAATGGAAAAAGAAAAACAGCTTGAAAGCATATGGAAATAGCTCCCAAGGGCAGCTCTTGGAGTTGGTATTGCACCTCCACCGAACCACATAACCCTCTAACAGGGTCTTCTCCGTGTTCCACTGCTTTCAGATCTACTTTACTGGTGTGAGGAGGATGTAACATAATCACTAAGGCAGCAGCCACTTGTGCTTTGCACATCTGTAACATCACAGCATCATTTCACTGAACCCTTCAGTACAGTAATCCAAAATTATTTTTGAAACTGCAAATAACCACCAGCTTTCTGAAATCTCTTTTATTACCATCAGCAAGCTGATTAAATTTACCCTGGAGTACTACAAACCACACAACTAACCCAAGTTGAGTCACTGGCAACATCTCTGATAACTCACTGAGAACTCAGGTTGAAGAGCACATGAAAAGATCAAACATCACATGCTTTAAAATGGAAAAGAATGTAGGTAATTATAGACCAAATATGCTCACATATACTGTAAAGATGCCAGAATAAGTATTTAGCCAATACTACTGCAAGAATTTACAAAGATAGTATAACGGTAAGAACCACTATGCATACCTCAGAAACTCTTCCTTCACAGTGCTAATGATTACTGTACAGGAAGAATAGCTGGACATGACTTGATATAACTTCACATTCTTAAGATGTGTGATTGTCTTCCCTATTTAGGGACTATAGAGTTACCATCTAGAAATTACTAAAAAGCAGGATATGAATGTAATTGAAAAAATGATCCTCAAAGAGCAATCAATTGTGTTCTGTGGAATAGTTTTAAATACAATCTGTGAAGAAAAGCTGTAAAAGACTAGGTTCACTTCATCAGTTTTCAGAAAGTGTAAAACAAACGTTTCAATACAATGCAAGTGTAAAGAGGGATGGTTTAAATTGTTTTCTGCATCCAGGAGAGAACAAGCAGTATTTGGCGTGATTTGTAACATGGAAGACTTAGAATAAATAATAAGAACTTTGTTATTATCAAGCACGGTAACAGATAGTAATCATTGGCAGTTTTAAAGAAGTATTTGTCTAAATGTCTGTCAAGAATGGTCTGTACAGATTTGATTCTGACTCAGAGTATGAGACTACAGTTTTTGGTGTCTTGAAGAATGGCCTTTGCATATTTTTCTGCATTTGGCTATATAATAACAAGAACACTATTGACCAAATTCTTAAACTTTTTATTATTTCAGACTTACGCAAAGCATGACTTATCAGTGGTCTTTCATTGTGTTTTATCTTTTGTGGCTATCCAGGCTATAAATGCTTTACTATTTAGCTGGCTAGGACAAACAGTAAACTGGGGGGAGGATTAATGGAAAGAGAAATGAACCCAACTTTCAACTTCATAATGCAGAAATTGTACTAGACATTGCTATTTCTTCTCTGGCTTCTTTAAAATGCAGTATGTTTATGAATAAGATCTATATTCATTCTATCTGCTAATTTTTTCAATGTATTATTCATACACAACTTCTTTATTTATAAACTCAGTGAGCAAAAGAAATATGGTGTACATGGCTCATCACAGAAATACCATTTACCAACATATTTTCAACTCATGTCTTTTCAGTTTGTTACTTTTTGATGCAACACACTATCTATCTCGTCTGACTATTAAATGTCTTGATTTCATTGAAAGATTTAATACTGTGATTTAAATGGGGGCACAGTAGCTCATTTGGAATCCTAAGGCATACAAAAAAATCCTATAATTTTCTTTGGATGTATAAAATGCCACAAAATGGTTTTCTTTGGGTTCACTTACTATTCTCTCCAATTAAGAAATTAAGGTTAAAAAATAGTAATTTTTATTTCCCAATTTCTTAAAACAAATAGCAGGAGAGTACTAACACAGTTGAGTGGGAAGGTGACTGCACAAGATACTTTATTCATATTTAACTTACCTAAAACTAAACAAATGCAGTTTTCCTAAACATAAGGACCATTCTGAAATAAGAGTTAAGAGAACAGATAGATATGTGTAAGCTACTACGTATGTTGTACTTATCCACTCTGTCCTTAAACTATCAAGGTAGTACAAACCATGTAAGAAACAGGTGTTTTTATGAATGCATGCTGATGCATTGAAAGGAGCAGAGTTCAAGTTTACTTGAAAGTGTTTCTAACAATTTCTATTATTTCATGCTCAAAGGCTGGAAAAAGATTTCTTAAATTCAAAATGCAAAATTGCACTCCTATTAAGTCGGTGGCATTGTACAAGACAAAGCAGAGGCCTCAGTACCATTGGTTTTGGAAGAGAATCTAAATTAGCAGCCTCGCACTGTAAGAAATGATGCACTGTGTCTGGATAAGCAGCTCAAGATTGCAGTTCACCTTATGCCATCTGGGTTTCAGCCCATTGCTAATTCTGTAACAGTTTCCAGAGGTACTTACACTCCTCACTCTCCACTGCTGCATAGTTGCCAACTTCTTTGAAGCTGATATTTCCCAAATGCAATATTCCTGCCACTATCTGCAGCACCAATGCCTGTTCCTCTGCAAAGATCCCAATCACACTCATTGCATGCTGGGAAGAAAAGGAAAAAAAATTGAATCAGTCGAAGAATCTGTTCAATGACTCTTGTCATAGAAGTCCTTTTAAAATGTTGATGTTAACAATTTGAGTTTTTCAAAACAGTTCAAATACCTAAGGCAACCAAATTTCATTACAGCCTGCACTAAAGTTTCAAAAGGTACCAGATGTCCTACTTCAGCATTTTTGTATGTTTTACATACAGAAGCATCTACACCATTCACAAGATGTGTTAGCAAAATAAATTCTTGAAAAATTAAAGTTACTAAAAAACAAGCACCTGCTCTTAAGTGTCACACTAAAAATAAACAGTTTCCTTGCAAAATGGGAAACAATGAACTTAAGAGACAATGATTTTATTCCTTCTACACAGACAGCTTATCCACTTGGACTAAGAACTGTGAAGCTGTACTGCATGACTCTAAAAAGCAGCACAGTCTGTCTGGCTTAGGCTGTGAATTTCAGCCACTTACTAGAAAATAATCCACAACAACATCGGGTTTTGGAGTCTAGAGTACATCGTAACTTACAGAACATCTTCTCAACTGACTGTTTTTCTAACATACCAAATTAGCTAGAATACAACAGTAATGTTTTTTTTTTTTAAGCCTTTAAATGTGCTACATATATAAATAAGATGTGTTAACACACTTATTTTAAATAGTAAATTTCTAATAACAGGAGACCAGCAAGTTGACATGACTTGCATAAAGGTCACACAATGAATTGGCAACAGCACTGGATAAAGATCCCTGATCTATGCTTTCTAAGTCCCTTTCTCCAGCCTTTCACTTGCATTGTTTTAAATAGGCATGGAAGATCAGTCACCACGAAGAATTCAGCTAAAACAGAGCACTCTCTTATATTTTCTTCTAATGGAAATTCCTCATTGTGTTTGCATTTTCACATTTTTCATACTGCAGATTATCTGCACTCAATTAAATTTCATTAAATTTGTACCCTTCTGAAAGAGAACAAACAGAAAACAAAAAACCTTTCTATAGAAGTATCTCTCTTCTCAGCATTGTTAGGCTGCAACATAGGACCTCTTCAGGGTAACATACCTCCTCCTCAGGGTAAAATATAATTAAAATAAGTTACATCTACATTAATTTCTCATTCCCACATTAATACATCAAGGTCTTTGCTACAAATGGACAGAGAAATGAACATACAGCCACCACCAGGCAAATCATAAGAGTAAAAAGCTCACCAGTGTTTCTTGGAAATCGGATCTGTCATTGATGTCATCAACTTTGTAGGACCCAGAGAGACTCAGATAGTAATAGTAGTCCATACTGGTAATGCCAAGACTGCTTTTTTGTTCTGAGGAGGCCCCTTCAATTAGCTGCAGAATAAAAATCCCCAAATTAGGTATCATACGATGATCTTCAGCAGAGATAAGCCAGGTCGGAAACAGGTGACTGAGCCTGAAATTACTGGGAGAGGTATGGCTAGTGCTGTGCCAGGTATGTATCTTTCCTATGTTTTGCTAATTGTTTAACCCAAAAGACCAGATTCTCATTCCCATTCCCAGGAATGGTTTAGTTCTAACTTCCGTATCTAACAAAAAGCAAAAACTGTGACTGACTTGAATGCCTTCCATTATTTTTACCTCATAAAGATATGGTAAAGTGGGTTTTCCAATCTGTAATGTATTACCTAAATCCTCAGGAGCAACATTGTTTTCCGTGCCTACTGAAAGTTAGGCAGATTGAAAGAACATACTAAGAAAGCATTGTTTGTGACTCTAATTGTGAGGCCAAATACCCTTTACACCATTATAGCGTATGTTAAGCAAGTTTTGAACTGCTCCAATACTATGGTGATTTGAAGCATGGCTCAAGTTACACCTCTTTGCATCATTTAGGCCAACAGGGCCAAGAGTAAGTAACAGAATAGTTAAAAAAAGGTTCCTGTACTCTCTGTGATGCCAGAGGAGAGGCTTCTCAGACCTATGTAAAGTTTACACAGTTGTGCACAGACATGGCTGCAAGAGGAAGGAATGAACAAACTAACCTCAGAAGAGAATAGTCAAAACCCCATAGTTTTTTAACTCCTGCGTCAAAAAGCCTCTCCAAGCCACAAAGGAAAATCAGCAGGACAGTGCAATTTGTTCATATACCTCAGAAGGGGAGAACACACAGCCCCTGGAGCAATTCCAGCTCCAACTCAGCCTTCCATCCTGGCAATGGCACCTCAACTTTATGTGAAGCTGCTTACAGTCACTTACAATGCACTGTCTTTACTCTAGTTTTGTAGAGCTTGATCGATGGCACTTCAGCAAATAAGAAACTCACATGTCAAGGACCAGTGAAGGCCAGAAAAGCCTTTTGAAACACATAAAAAAAGCAGGTATGCTTGGAGGATTCAACAAATAGATATTGTCCTAAATGTCCTAGAAAACTTACCTGAGAATCAAATCTCTCTTTCACAGCTGTGCCATGGAATTCCAGAGCAGAAAGTATAATTATATAGGCCAGTTTAAAAAGAAATCTGTTGGAAAGTTATTATTTTCTATTACATTCTGCTGGACTTTTCCACATGGGAGTTCACAGTGAATTTCCAAGCAAGGCCTTTGAAATATTGAAGCACTTTTGTTCTGGAGCTGAAAAGCAGCTAGGTAGGTCTATGTTAGATCGTGTTTTAACATGCTCTCCAGCTTCCCAGTGATATCCAGATTATCTTCTTCAGTACACATTCAGTAATCTCACTGTGTTGAAAACAACTTTTCAATCAAAAGGAAAAACTGGTCGTAATTATTTTAAATAACTCGGAAAGGATCTATACACTTCTGACCTGGTAAAATATGTGAAAACTCCTCTCTCCAGGATTCCTCATTACAACTCGAGATTTTTCCAGTAGGAAGTTGGAGATTTTCCCTCCATCTGGTTCTCCACCTGGGCTAAACTGGATTTCAAAGTATTTCCCCTGCAATAAATAATTAAAGCTGTTGAATGATTAGTAAATACAAATCTGAAATCATGCACTTGTACCGTATCTCAAGGAAGGCTAGTAGGACATTTAATCTTTATGGATGCAGTGACACAGGTGCCTCAAGGTATAACCTCAGCTTAGATTCTCAAACTATCACATATCTTTCTTTCTGTGTTTACACAGCGCTAGACTCAGGATAATACGTCATGTGTTAATACAAACGTAGAGACGAAGTCAGTGGCTTCTTTTCACTGCTGAGACTCTTGCTTAGTATAAAGGAAACCATAAGGCTCAGCTATACAGGAAGTAAATTTAACAGATTTATGACCAATGGCAAACATAGCGTTCTGCTGGGAAGCAAGGTAAAGCAATTATCTTTTCCTTTCAGAGAGACATTAATTGCATTAACACTCACATTGGCCGAGGAACAAATTTCAAATTTGTAAAGCCTATGTGTAAGTTTTAAAAATGGAACCTACAGTATCTTATCTAGTGATCAGTCATTTCACAGTATTATCTTGAGTATGTTATAATGACAGACTGAAAATAATTCCTGCCTACTTTCTGTACATATTAGTAAAGGCATTTCCCATCAAAACAACTCTAAGGATGGTTTCATCTACTTTTAAAAAAGCTATCAATTTTATTTTTTTTAAACATATATAATGGTGTATATTTTACTGATACTGGCCAGTTTTTTGCAGATAAGTTATTTGCTTGCAGACTGAACACTTTATAAATAAATTGTGACCAGTACATATTGTAAGAGAAACAAATGCGCAACCTATACAGAATGAAATAGAGGCCTCAAAACAAATACTTTGTTTTAAAACACACTTTATATTTTATTTAGATTTACCTCATTTGTAGTCAATTTATATTATACTCCTGAATACTGTCTCTGTAACAGCACAGAAGTTGGAAGAATAAAGTAATCTCTAAGGTAGAGGGACTTACAAATCTGCTGGAGTTGTTGTTCCGTACAGTTTTTGCATTCCCAAAGGCCTCCAGTAAAGGGTTGGACTGTAGAATAATATCTTTAACATGCTAAAATTTTAGGAAACAAGAGAAATAGAGATTCAGAAATAGACATTTTTAAAGTTCTTACAGATTTTCTAGAAAACCATGACATCTAAACTATATATGAAAAAAGCAAGAAAGCCTGCATCTGTAAGAAATCCTCTTGATCAGATAAGGAATAGAATCTAACTGTCTTTTTGTTTCAGAGCTTCTAGTTCCTATTTTTTGGAGACAATCCTACAAAATTGAATAAAATGCCTGAAGCTAAAAACTGGTCCTTCTGTTCACTGTTCTGCCACGCAACACAGCCAATAAATTGATCTGTTTTTTTCATCATCTTGATTTTAAATAATTTCCTTCTTACACATGAGCATGTAAATCTTTTTGGGGGTCTGGAACCACAACCAATGAAGTCAGAACAGCATGAAATTTAGGAATCTGCAAGTGCTTCAGCAACCTGTTTTGGGATCAATGATGCTGCTATCTAGCTGTCTTAGAAAGCAATAAAGTGTGTTACTATTGTCTCTTTATCTGATCCTGAAAGTTGGAAGTATGGACAAGGTATTAGCTTTGGAACAAACCCAATGCATGCTGGGTTGTGAAGAGAAGACTGAATTTTATTCCAAAAGAAATGCTCAAGGCAACTTACCAACTTTATCAACTGTTACTCTGTAATCACTAAGAATATTTTTTAATTTTGTACAAGAAGCTGGAATCTTTTAAATAAAACAAAATATTTACTTATCAAGTATGATTATATTTATTCCAAAAATAACACAACGCATACTTTCTCTGGATCATTCTCTTGGTTACTGAATTATTCTCTGCAATGTTCCCAGTATCACTGTTGCGCAAAACTAAGCAGAAAGAACATACTGAACATCAGAGACTGCAATAAAGCAGAAAATAACAGTAAGCACTCAAAAAGAGTGGACTGGTAAAAGCAGTTACTACCTACCTACCACTGCCTGTCAGTCAATGAATGACATTGTAATGTTATTAAGGGAATTTTTATGGCTAATTCACTCAATTAGCTTTAGTTAATAGATTTTAATAGATAGAGTAGACATTGATAGTATAGTTATTAACAAAAGCAACTATTTGCCGTTTCAGCTAGCTTTCAGATACTCTAATTTTGACTAGATAACCTCATAGAACAGATGATGTTCCTGCTGTTGGCTCTCTGATGTATGCATACAAATCAGAGATTTAATGGAATTAAGAAAAACTCGAAAAGCCAGTTCAGTTTTCAATAGAATGCCAACACAGGATGAAAAAACCCACATCTACTAAAAGGAGATTGGTGGTTGTTCTTAATCTGGTTAAGAAAAAGAATTAAAGTACCTTTTACCCCTTAACTAAAAAAAAATATGCTTGTAGACATAATTCAGCATGAGAGCTACGAAACTTTTAGCAGAGATGCTTCTGGGTCTGTGGATTTCCTTCGCATGGCTCCCATCACACAGGCAGCCCGGCAATCTGCAAGCAAGCAGTTCCCTCTTGTCTCTCTGCTGTTGAGGGCTTTTATGTATTTCTAGCTGCTCACCCACAAGCTTCTTCAGTAGAGTGCCTCTTGGCTGCCAGTGTCTGCCAAGACAGACCTTTGTCATTCTACCTCTGAAGTAAATCTTCAGACTATGCTTATGCTTCAGTATTACTCTATATCAACTCACCTGTACTTTAGGGCCACCTCCTGAAATTTTGGAGATATAGCTCATTATATATTTAGCAGCTACAGTCTTCCCAGCACCACTTTCCCCACTATGAAAAAAAGAACACAAAAACATACCTGTTAAGATTTTAAATAACTCTAGAATGGAGTAATTTGAGGTTTATTTTGTTCAACCAAGACTAAGTACCTTAAAAATGAATAATAATAAATACACACCGTATCTACATCAGATAAGCTGGTACTATACAGACTGATATAGCATTGTAGCGTGGTATTTGGATATGTTTGTGAATAGATAATTTTGAACACATCATCTTGCATGGGCACCAGAATGTCTACAGGACTTCAAAGTCAGAAAACTATGGAAATTGAGAAATAAATATACTTAAACCAAGATGCTCAAAAGAGAAGAAGTGTGTTAAGAACTCAATTCCCATCTAAATTTAGTGGGATTTCAGATCTTAACACAAAAACTCCTTCGAAAATCCAAGCTTTGAATGCCATGCCAGATACCTACTTCATTTCAGAAGTCTTTTGTTTTAGGTGTTCCTGAATGAAATAATGAGACATTATTAATCACATCCTGAATGACGGAAGAACTACCTTCCTGTTCCTATGCCTCTTGACACAGGGTACAAGAAGTCTTAATATTCCATACTAGCTTTCACAATTCCTTCCTTCCATTATAATATTTCACTTCAATGCTGAATAACGTTTACAACATCAGTAGATTTGCCTTCTCACAATTAGTAAACTTCTCAAGAGGGAAAGAAGATCGGCATGCCAGGCAATCCAACCTCACACTTTATTTCATACCTTGAAGCTAACTTCATTTCAACAGAATTCCTCCAGACTTACATAAATCTTGGTGCAAGTCAGCTTGGACCTTAATGAATTTACCCTGACCTGGACAACTAATACCAAAGAAGAACACGTGGATGTTAGTTCAATGTCATAAAGATATCTGAAATATTTTTTTCACGTGTGAAAAATCTGTGCTACATTTAAGCTCCTGAATAATTTCAGTGAATGTTGTTGACTCTTCTATCCTGCGCCTACTTGTTCCTGGATATGGATCAAATGCACATCTTTTCCTGCACAAATTTTAGCTACGTTTGCCAGAGAAACATCAGCATGTCCTGCACAGGAAAAGGACTTGCTGAGAATGTCAACTCATAGCTCCTTATCAGCATGAGTAATGGGAGACATTTCCAAAGGCTTAATTCTGAAAAAGCTCCCCAAACTGCCAAGCTGCAAATATCATTTTACATCTTTAAAGCTTCCAAACAGTACAGAAATACTGAAAGGCTTTTTTTTTTTTTTTTAATCCCAGAAATGTTTTCGTGCTTTTGTCTTCTCCTGACTGCAGTTTTACAGATCAAACAGGAATCTTGAAAAGGTGAAAAAATACTTCTTGATCATCTCATCTGTGAAGTGCAGACCATGATTTTTATTATTCTGAGTCATCTTTTCCTAAGCATCAAGAAGAAAGCCGGTATTATTGGTATCTACTACATTCACAGGGACAGACAGAGTTTGCTGGATGGCAAACTGGATTTAGAAGTTCAAATCAGCAATAGTTTGATAATTAAAATAACATTTCTTCAAAATTTGCTCACAGTAAATTTGCTCATCCTGTTGTAAAAAAAGACAGACAAACCAATGTAAACCAAATCATACTCTTGAGTTTACATATGCAGTTTTCAACTGAATACAGAGGAGGATCCAGGGCCAAACACTGAACGAATTTGATCAAGTATTATTTATCACGCAGTAAAAATGTAACACATTTCTGTAAGATTTTCTTTGATGCATAAGTTATCCTTCTCCTCTTTGTTCAAATTAAGTGTGGCTTATCTTTCTCATTCCATAGCATCTGCCGCAGAAATTGACCTGGAGGAATATAGTTCCATTTTATTGTTAATCTCTGTTTTGATATAAGTGGTCCTTTATATCAAATTCAATTTGGCCGAAAGAGTGCCTTTCAGAGTTTGCTTTAGATTTATGCATGCATACACTTTTTTTTCAGTTTTATGGTTTTATTGATCCGAGACCAGTAAATTGCTCCACTTAAACTAGAATAAAACAGGATGATGCATTATTTATGAACTGAAGTAACTTCATCTGATGGGATGGTATCTTGCCCCAGTAAAGCTCAGGTAGTCAACTGTAACATGGATATTGTGGCAT